TTTTTAGTAGATGGGGTTTCACCATACTGATCAGGCAGAATGATTACAGGTGCCTGCCACCACACCTGGCTAATGTTTTTGTGTGTGTGTATTTTTTGTAGATACAGGGTCTCACCATCTTGTCCAGGCTGGTCTCGAATTCCTGGGCTCAAGAAATCTGCCCACCTCAGACTCCCAATGCTGGGATTACAGGCATGAGTGGCAGTGTTTGGCCTCTAAACTAAGTTTTTGCTAGTATTTTTTTTTTTCTTTTGTGTTGTGAGTGAGGTGGGGGAGGTTTGAAAATGGTGGGGATTTTGAGGGCCTATAGAAATTAGAATGTTTCTATATTCACTTAATTGGAGACAAAAAGCTGTTGGAAATTTTTGTAAAAAATATAGGTAGGCCGGGCGCAGTGGCTCACGCCTGTAATCCCAGCACTTTGGGAGGCCTAGGTGGGCGGATCACGAGGTCAAGAGATCGAGACCATCCTGGCCAACATAGTGAAACCCCGTCTCCACTAAAAAAATACAAAAATTAACTGGGCATAGTGGCATGCGCCTGTAGTTGCAGCTACTTGGGAGGCTGAGACAGGAGAATTGCTTGAACTCGGGAGGCGGAGGTTGCAGTGAGCCCAAATTGTGCCACTGCACTCCAGCCTGGTGACAAAGCAAGACTCTGTCTAACAAAAAAAAAATATATATATATATGTATATATATATATATAGGCTAGAGAAATATCTAGTTTTATTTTTTTTTCCATTTTAAAAAGATTCTTTATTTAAAAGATTATATACTTAATTATAAAAGTCTGTATATATTTCAAAATGAGAAACAAGAAGTAATATAAATTAATGATAATTCTTTTCAAAACACTAACTAGCAAATATAATGACAAGGAAAAAAATTAGGCCACATGATCCGGGAAGTCTAACAAATCTCCATTTGTCTGTACTGAAAATTTTTTTTTCCCCATTTATTTTATTGCATTTTAGGTTTTGGGGTACATGTGAAGAACATGCAAAATTGTTGCATAGGTACACACGTGGCAGTGTGATTTGCTGCCTTCCTCCCCATCACCTACATCTGGCATTTCTCCCCATGTTATCTCTCCCCAGCTCCCCTCTAGTCTTATTTTTAAACCTGGAGGAGCCACACATGTAACCAAACTGTAAGATATGTATCTAAATTTACACAGATTATGCTTTTTTGGGGCAGTTCATTCATATTTAGCTGAAATCTCATTGGGTTTTCATTACTTCAAACAAAAATATGTACTGGCATTATTTAAAGTATGAAAATTGCTCAGAATGTCACCTTTCTAATGTCATTAAAATATTGGCTGCTTTTTAAAAAAATCAGTTGGTGCATATCTTTGTGCTAGAGTGGTAGCCGGCAATTGCATGGCTGTTGGAAGAGCGTTGTTGAGTATTGGGAATTTTGGAAACTTCTCATTTTGTAATGAAGGGTTTTCTTTTAAAGCTCATGATTACATATTTATGTACACGTCTCCTACCTATGGGCTGTCTTCTGTATGTAATTGTGTATGGGCTTATGAAAGAGGAAAAAATGGTAGATCAGTTGATTGTGTCTTCCTGTTAACTTATACACATACTCAGTTCTACCCCTAGACCTGGGTCCCTCATTTAGAATACCCTACTTTGGCCCTCCTCTGGCCGTGCATCTCCTCCAGTCAAGCGGTCTGTGAAGCCGAGTAGGCAGCTCTCTCCTTCTATACCTCAGAATTTACTGCCTGATGGCCCCAAGCTTCCTTCCAGGGTTTGTGTGGACCTCTTCCAGGGCTTTATTTCTCTGAGAGCTACACTGAATATCAAGGAGCTCAAGAATTTGAAAGTATATTATAAATATAACTTTAAATATTTAGATAGATGACATATGGACCTCTGTTTCCATTAGCCTTCGCTGTGAGGTAAACCACCCAGACCATAGCAGCCTGGAACAGAAATGATTTAGTATTTCTCATGATTTGATGGGTTTGGTGGATGGTTTCTCTGTTGATTTTTGCCGAGGCTCATTTGTGCAGCTGCATTCAGCTAGAGGGGTGCCTGGACTGGAAGGTGAATGATGGCCTTGGTCAATGTCTGGCAAATGTTCTGGTTTGGTTCTTCTCTATGTGGCCTCTTGTCCTCCAGGAGGCTGCTTCAAAGAGCAGCTTCAGGGTTTCATTGAAAAGGAGTTAATATCAAAGTTGCAAAGCCTCTTAAGGCTTAGCTTTGAAACTCACAGAAAGTTCTGCCAATTTTGTTGGTCAAAGCAAGTGACAAGGTCAGTCCAAATTCAAGGCAGGGGAAACAGACTCTACCACTTGATGGGAAGAGGAGCAAGTCACTTTGCAGAAGGACAAGAAGGATGGAAGAAAGTCACAGCTATCTTTGCAAGTGATTGGCCACACACTCAATTTGTATTCTTGTCCTACACCCCACAGATGTTAGGGATGATCCTGCAAAAACTGGTAACAATAATACCAGCAAACTTTTATCCATTCATTTTTTTTGAGAGACAATTCACGTTGTCACCCCAGGCTGGACTGCAGTGGTACGATCTTGGCTTGCTGCAACCTCCATCTCCTGGGTTAAAGCGATTCTCCTGCCTCAGCCTTCGAGTAGCTGGGATTACAGGTGTGCACCACCATATCTGGCTAATTTCTATATTTTTAGTAGAGTTGGGATTTCCCCATGTTGGCCAGACTAGTCTTGAACTCCTGATCTCAGGTGATCCACCTGCCTCAGCCTCCCAAAGTGCTGGGATTACAGGCGTGAGCCACTGCACCTGGCCTATCCATTCACTTTGAATGTAGTCATTTCATATAGTGAGGTAGATTCAAAGAGTTATTTAAGGGAAAATGTAAATGCCAAGGCTTGGAAACTGGTTGATATGAAATCATTGTTTAATTTGGAAAAGAACAGTATACAATGTTCAGTGCTTATTAATCCTGTGATTTTCTTTCTAAATAGCTGCTGCCATCTTAAGTAAAGTAAATCTGTCTGTGGATCCTTGTGATAATTTCTTCCGGTTCGCTTGTGATGGCTGGATAAGCAATAATCCAATTCCCGAAGATATGCCAAGCTATGGGGTTTATCCTTGGCTGAGACATAATGTTGACCTCAAGTTGAAGGGTAAGTTTCTACTGGGGTTTGGTGATACACTTTACAGAGTGCAATATTTGACAGGCAAAACATAGTTTGGGATTTGAAGCATGACTTCTCACTTTTTAACTATGTTTAATTCATTTCCAAGAATTTTGAAAGTTTGAAAGTTTGCAGAATTCTGGTCTCCCAGATCTCAACATAAGACTAATGTAGGTTGTTATGTTCATGTTTGCTGATTGTAAATTCTACTACCAAAGGATAAAGAGCATTTGGCTGAGATTGCAAGCAAAGGAATAGTTAATAAATAATTATATCAATATACTCATTTGTCTGTTGTATTCAGAGCAAACTTCCTTTCTTGCTTATTGTGTCCTGGATTTTCATGGCTTACAAAATGTACTTAACACCTCATCATCTTTTGACATCACTTTTGAGAACTCTGGATGACCCCGTGGTTGTCATATTGTTCCTATTAACTTCTAAGTTGGCTCTAGGGAGATTTGCTTTTCTCCCATGGCCGCTCTAGCAATGACAAGCTCACACACACAGACTCACACATGCATGCACACACACATATGTGCTCAAATGCATCCCCCTGCCCCCCGCCAAAGTTGGAAATGTCTGTTACTGGAGGATATTCTGTTTGCATTGGATCTAATTTTTACGCTAGGCTATTGGTGAAGACCACTTCAGGAGGGAAGTGGGAAGATTTCAAAGCCAGGCTATTTTTGACAACTGTGAGTTAGTTACATCATGTAACTTACATTCAGTAGCACCTACAAAAAATTCCTGAGAAGTTATACAAATCGTAATTTTTTCTTCCCGTTTATATTTTCCCAAGATTTTAAGTACATGAAACTTAAATATGTATCATTTTACAAGTGAAACTCTCAGCAAAATAATGAGATACCTGTTGTCAATTGTAAGGAAAAATGTGCTTAAATTTCACAACTAGATATAAATCACATGGACTTAAGTTTTCTATTAGGAGACCTAAATTTAGTCTTGGTAAATTATAAATGAGAATTTGCAGGAATATCAAGGTTTTCTCCTAACCCAACAGGCAAGATTCTCATACTATAAAATCATTAATAAGACCTTGAAGAGTGAGTTTACTCATATTTATTTCCCTGTAGGACATTAATTCATGTTGGTCTTTCATTTACCATTTTTGTCCATTTCCTATTTCCCTTCTCTGGCTTTCCTTACTCAATAGAGAGATGTATACACACACATGTGCACGCACACACATGCATAGTCATGCATGCAGAAACATTACTGAAGGGTAAGAAAACTACAAGATTTCCAGACATATGCTCCTTTTACCTTAGTTATAACCCAAAGATTTTTGTCTTCAGGACATGTAGTGGTTAACGATAACTTAAATAACTTTCGAGGGATGTCTGGAACTTTAGCGTGAACATTAAAATTAGTATCAATGTACTTTGTTTGAGGAGGATACTGTCTACAGGCTCCTTCAAAATTAATAGAAATGTGAGTAAATTGTTTAGCACAGGGTTTCTGTATTTGCTAACTTCCTTTTAAAAATTGAAAATTTTATTTCCTAGCTCCATTGAAGAAATAATAAAAGAGCAAAAATTAGAAGAAAAGTTGCTCATAAATCCACCCCAGGAAATAACTGCTAATAAAGCAATTGCGGATATTTCTTTCCAAGTTTTGTTGCATGTGTGGGCCCATGTGTGTAACTTCATATGCACACCTATAGTTTTAAAAAATTAGCTGATATTATGCATGCTACTCTAACTTGTTTTCAGAAACTATGCATTCCTCATAGACATAGATTATGTGAGTAGTAAATAACTTTTTTCTTTCTTTCTTTCTTTTGAGACAGAATTTCGCTCTTGTCACCCAGGTTGGAGTACAATGGGACCATCTTGGCTCACTGCAACCTCCACCTCCTGGGTTCAAGCAATTCTCCTGCCTCAGCCTCCTGAGTACCTGGGATTATAGGCACCTGCCACCATGCCTGGCTAATTTTTGTATTTTTAGTAAAGATGGGGTTTCGCCGTGTTGATCAGGCTAGTCTCAAACTCCTGACCTCAAGTGATCTGCCCACCTCAGTCTCCCAAAGTGCTGGGATTACAGGCGTGAGCCACCATGCCTGGCCAACTTTTCTTAATATAAATAACACTGTGATAAACATCCTTGTGTACACATCTTTGTGTCTTTGTCTAAATGTATTCTTAGGGATATATTCCCAGAAATTGAATTATTGGGTTGAAAAAGTACTCTAAATCTCATTTTTAATGCATATAGCCAAATTGCCTTTTAGAAAGTTTATTTCAGCTGGGCATGGTGGCTCATACCTGTAATCCTAGCACTTTGGGAGGCTGAGGCAGGTGGATCACCTGAGGTCAGGAGTTCAAGACCAGCCATGGCTAATATAGTGAAACCCTGCCTCTACCAAAAACGCAAAAATTAACTGGACATGGTGGTGCCTGTAATTCCCAGCTACTCAACAGGCTGAGGCAGGCGAATCACTTGAACTGGGAGACAGAGATCGCAGTAAGCCGAGATCGAGCCATTGCATTCCAGCCTGGGCAACTGGGCAACAAGAGTGAAACTCTGTCTCAAAAAAAGAAAAAAAAAAGTTTGTTTTTAGGTCTTTATATATATTTTTTTGATGTTTTAAAGGATACCTTTTTCCCATCAGCTGCTTTCTGTGGTATAAAGCAGAGGTCAGTAAACCACGGCCAGTAGGTGAAATCCAGTCCACTGCCTGGAAATCCTTTGACTTATGCATTATCAATGACTGCTTTTGCACTCCAGTGGCACAGTCAAATAGTTGCCATGGAAACTGGATGGCCCAAAAAGGCTAAAATATTTACTCTTTGACCTTTATAGGCAGTTTGCTAATCCCTGATGCCTAGTATAATATAGTAAAGCTTTGAATGTGTATTGGATTCGATTAGAACTGTCTTATTAGTTATTCTTTGGATTTCCTAGATAGTTAATAATAAAGTTAAGAAATACCAGAACAGGCTGAGCGTGGTGGCTCACACCTGTAACCTCAGTACTTTGGGAGGACAAGGCAGGTGGATCACCTTGAAGTTGGGAGTTCAAGACCAGCTTGACCAACGTGGTAAAGCCCCATCTCTACTAAAAATAAAAAAAATTACGGGTGGTGGTTCATGCCTGTAATCCCAGCTACTCAGGAGGCTGAGACAGGAGAATTGCTTGAACCTAGGAGGTGGAGGTTTCAG